TCCATTATGCATAGCTGGCTGTGTGCATGTCCCTCAGGCTGCAGCATTCATTAAGGGAAGCTTACCGGGCTGAAAGCTGGAGACAGATGATAACGGGATATGATTTTCATATTTAATACATTCCTTGGAAGAGCACATGCGTGCCGCAGATTGATAGAAGAATCAATTGCTACTTTAGTGAAACACTTTCTACTTTGCCCTGCAGCTACCGATGGAATCACTCAGCCAAGAAATTAACTTTTCCTCTTTTTTTACCTACTTTGTGGATCTGCTGGGCAGACTGCATGGTTTACACTGAATGTTATTAAGCAGCTAACTGTTTGGTATTTAAGACGCTTATCAGAAAAGAAACAGAAGCCATGCTTTTTGTTATTATGTTTGGAGGAAGGCTTTTTGCTCCCCCCTCTTGGTGACATTGCAGACATGAATCAAAACTTGTCTAAAGGATTTCTAATAAGATTAAAAGTTAAAACATTCTTATTAAAGATGGTGGGAAAGGAATTCTGACCTTGGCCCAAATAAGCTACACTTATTCAAAATTGTAATGTGGGTAGTTTAAAATATTTGACTTGAATTTCTTTCATAATAGACTTCTTTAACATAAGCAAGACATTTACAATTGTAGAATTGTATTTATGCCTAATATCATATTTCTGAGGTAATTGAAAGTACTCAAAAATGTATATACAAAAATATCTCTCTGACCTTTTTTAGGTTGAAACAGTGCATAGACAGTACCAGGACAGCTCTCTCTCACACAAAGCTAAGGAATTTACACAACCACAAGCAGTCATTTTTATGGACCGCCAGACCTCCAGAGAGTCTGACACTGAAGCTGGCACCACAAGTATACACTCAGGCCAAGCATTGCATCGTTCACGTAGTCGCAACATGCACTCCGGTGAACGTCTACCAAGTGGCCTTTTGAAGGACTCCACAGTTGGCGGAGAGGATACCGCCACTAACCGAGCACATTTATCAGATCACATTTCGGCCTCAAACAATTCCCCTGATGGAGGTAATTTGAGTGACGAACATGGAAGAACAATGGTCATGCTCCCATTTGTTCCTGCCTTAACAGGTACAACTGGCAGCGTGCCTTTTGAAAGTGATGACAAACATGAAACTTCACCTCTGGTGACCTTGATGGGGCCTGAGAAGAATCTGTTTCCCAGCAGCAATAGCCCCACGAGGAGTAAGAATTCCCCCCAAGAACACACTGACTCCCGAGAGGCGGCTGATCAGCCACGCATAATGGAAGATGGAGAAAGGTGTCTCAACCAGTTCATGCCTGAAAGTGCTTTTGTAAAAAAAGTTGAAAGAGCATCAGGTTTGCTAATATTACTAATTTCATTGTAATATCTTTTAACTTCACTTCATGAGCCCCACAGTTTATTTTGTCCTCTTGGTGATTTAAGCGTTAAATCACAATTTGTACTGTGTTTAAATCCAGGTGGAGGTGAGAGTGTTGGCACGCCAAGCTCTGATGTCCAGTTGTCAGAGAGTGTTATGAGTGACTTGTCCATTTCTCTGACACAATCTGAGCTGGAGAAGGATCCACCAGAGGGTCTGGCAGCTCAGAGGACTGCCACTTCTGGAGGGAGCCATGATCACTGTCAGCACAGTTCCGAGTCATCCCTCCACTCTGATGGGTCCAAGAATACAGCTCCAGCAGTGACCTTGGAAAGGTAGAGTATGTATGACTGCTGTACTTTGTCATCTGGAACCTTTAAAGTTGGTCATTGGCATAAACACTAACATTTTGATTGTTTATGGCACAAACTCTTCTTAAAGTGTGTACAGTACACCCAGAGCTAAGCAAGCTAAGAAAAGTGAGAGAGAATATTCTTCATGGCCATGCTGAACCACAAACGGTTCTTAATGATCAAAGCTGGTGAAAACACCATACAGTCCTCTTTACCAACATTACATCTGAGGAGTTTTGTGGGAGTCACAGACTGTTTTACCGTGCTCTTTGTAGCTGAGCAGCAGTTAAGGTTGTGGCAGTGATGCATCTTATAGGGAGAGCTCAGGACCTGTCACTAGCATTATTGCCATAATCCAAGATAATTCTGTAACAGGGCAATTTTCTGCTTGAGAGACCTCAGGAAGTCCCCAGTGGAGGATGAAATATGTGGCACCAAAGAGTGTTCTGGAGGGTGGGCATGTGGACAGCACTTACAGCCACAAATCCTTAGCATGATGATGGCCTCTGAGTTGAAGGATCATTTTGGATGGGGTTATAGCCACACAACATCCTATGTGAATGTTTGCC